AGTTTGGAGCTGGCTGGGGAAATGGAGGGAGACCCAGCACCTGGGGTCTGGGCTCCCCACCCCCCCAAGAGGGACCTGACTGAGAGTCCTGGTTCCTGTACCTACAAGCTCTGTGTCGACTGTGTTCCTGTCGTCTAATAAACTTTCTGTTTTACTGGCTGGCTGAGAGTCCCGGTGAATTGCAGGAAGTGGGGGGTGCAGGGCCCTGACTCCCCCACACTCTGTGACTTAGGCGCCAACTTTCTCCGGTGCCGGTTGGTGCCTGCGCCCCCCCTCTCCTTTCCCCGCCCCGACTGCACCCCATCCCCACCCCTGGCCCTGCCCCATTCCAACCCCATCCTCAAAGTCCCCGCCCTAACTCCGCCCCCTCCCTGCCCCTATTGGATCCCTTCCCCAAATCCCCGCCCTGGCCCCTCCTCTTCCCCCAGCGCGCCGCGTTCCCCCTCCTCTCCCCTCCCTCTCTGCACCGCGAATCAGCTGTGTGTCGGCGCAAGCGCTGGGAGGGAGGGAGGGGGGAGAAGCAGGACGCGGCGGTGCGCTCGCGGAGGAGGCGGAGGTGAGTTAGAGCAGGGGGGTGGGGCGGGGCCACCGGGAGCTGCTGGTGGGTGCTCAGCACCCACCAATTTTTTTCCGTGGGCGTTCCAGCCCCGGAGCACCCACAGAGTCGGCGCCTATGCGCCGTGACAACTTGCTGAGCAGTTTTTGGTTAAAATCTGCATCGTTGGGGGCCTGGACCAGACCTGGGTCGGGGCTGCAGCAGGCTGGCGTGTCTGGCTCAGCAAGGCAGGGTTCTGGAGTCCCACGCTGGCAGGGAAAACAGGCTCAGAGGTAGTTTCAGCAGGTCAGGTGACAGTCCCCAGGGGGTCTCTGTGACCGAACCCGTCACACCCCCTTTTCTATCTTCTCCCCACTTCCTGCACAGCTCTTTTGCTGTGAGCTGGGTCGAACAGTTCCCATTGTGCAGTGCTGTCTCTGAGAGGTGTCTGTTGTACAGTCTCCGGGGTAATCCCTGTGCTTGTGTGCGTTGCCTCAATCGGCCACTCCCATTGTTTGGCCTCTTTACGGTTGTACCTGAAAGGCGGCTTGTGGGTGTGTTCAACCGCACAACATGTTTCAGTAACACACACACAGGCAAACTTCATAACTTCACACACGCCGATAACACAGACAATCCAACGAGATATTACTGTCGAGCAGATCAAGACTTTTAGAATGATACCTCACAAGGCAGACTTTGTACAAACAGATCCTCATTACATGACAGTGGTGAATATTGGTGTGCCAGGGGGTCACCTCCCTGCTATCTATCCCCATCCACCCCATCCATCTATCTATCTATCCCCACCCTCTCCCCTATCCATCCCTCTCTGCTCTGGCTAGTGGGTGTTTCGCTGCAGGATAACAGCCTTCTACTGCTGCTGGACGGTGTCATTCCCCGGGGATGCCTGGCGGAGAGCGCAGTGCCAGGGAGGTGAGTTCAAATCGTGACGCTGACAGTGCGTCGCTCCCTGACACCTGCTCGGTGACGCTCTCTGGGCCGTGATCCCAGCCCAGCCGCCGGCCCAGGGCAAAGACCAGGCCACAGATGCCGGCCTTGGAAAGCACCAGGACGAGGCCGATGAGGACGAGGTGAACGGTGTCGATGCGCTGGGGGTCGATTCTCCCCGCATCCGCTGCACCAGTTGTGACCATTTCTGGGTGCCACGTGCTGTCCGTGAGTCTGGGAGCTTCCCGCCATGGGGAGGGAACAGGGGACAGCGGGTGAGTCCGGGCTCCCCTGGCAAACTCTGTACCCCCAAACCCACCCATTTCCCCACTTGAAGGGTGCAGTGACCCCTTTCCCCCAGCCCTCCAGATATGGGGGGTCCCTGCTCCCCTTTATGGCCCCCAAGAGATTTGAGACCCTGTTTTCCCCCACTGTCCCCTGGATATGGGGGATCTGTGCCGGTAGCATCTCTCTCTCTGTCTCCCCCCAACCACCGCGGTATCTGGTGCCCCCCACGGTTCATCCCCTCTCACCTGTCACCGTGAGGTTGGTCCCAAGGTTACTGCGCCATTGCTCCCATTTGCCATTGTTCTTCTGCACCCTGACGTGGCAGACGTACTCGCTGGCGTCCGACTCCCGCAGCCGGTCGATGCGGATCGAGGCCGTTCGGCTCCCCCACGGGTCCCCGACCAGAACGATGCGGCCCCCGTAATCCGGGTGGGTGAATCTCTCGGTGTGATTGTAGATAAACTCGCCATTGAATCCCCCCCGTCTCCAGTAAACCCGGAGGTCCTGCAGTGGCTCGATCTCGCGGGGGTAGGTGAAGGTGCAGGGCAGGGTGACGGAGCCCCCGGCCGGCGCCGACAGGGACACAGGCTGGGTTATCTGGTACCGGGGATCATGGGCAGCCGCTGCAAAGACCCAGAGACACAATCCTGTCACCGCGTCCGGCCCCGGGGTCCCACCCACAGCCAGCGGGGCACAGACGCCCCCAGCCTCCAGCCCCCCCCAGCACCCACACTGCACAAGCCAGCCCAGCCCCATTCCCCCTCCCATTTCCCTGCCCCACCCAGCCCCATCCGCCCTCCCTGAGCCCCCATCGCCGCCTGCTGCCCGGGTCTCGCCCGTGGCAGAAGTCGCCGCGCCCCAGTTCTGTGCACCCCGTGTCACGCCCCAGGGCTCACCCCCCACCAGGGGCAGCAGCAGCAGCAGCTCCCGGCGCATGGCCCCAGCGAAGGGGACTCCGGCCCCACTGGCTCTGCCCCCCCCTGCCACGCGCTCATTTGGGGAAGCTGGTGAGACCTTGGCCCTTCCTGTGTGAAATCCTCCATCGCCCTGGGCCAATGAGACACTGCGATGGGGGAGGGGAGAGGGGCTGGGAGCCAGGACTCCTGGGTTCTCTCCCCGGCTCTGGGAGGGAAGGGGGTTGGTGGGTTAGAACGGGGGGGCTGGGAGCCAGGACGCCTGGGTTCTCTCCCTGGCTCTGGGAGGGGAGCGGGGTCTGGGGCTGGCTGGTTCGGGGGGTTGGGGGAACCGGCTGGGGGCGGGGGGTGAGGGCCGGCTCACCATCACAGCCTAGTTACCAGGGTCTGCTGCCCGGTGAGGTTTGCTTTCACACCAGTGCACACGCGCTAGTGACCCTGGGGCGGCCCGTGTGCTGGAGGCTGGTTCCCGGGGGGTGGCCAGGACCCCGGTG